GTTCATAGTGTCAGTATACACCTCTCTTGTATTATTGATCTATAATTATTTATTCAATGTTTAATACTTTTTAATTTAATTAGATGTGATACAAGAGAACAATTATGTTTTCTAGTCTTGCTATATAGGAAGAGAGTGTAAAGATGGTAAGAATGTATTTATTGCATATAAATAATTGATATCAAATTAAATGGCAAGTTAGTTAATAGTGTCAGTATACACCTCCCTTGTATTATTGATCTATAATTATTTATTTAATGTTTTAATACTTTTAAATGTAATTAGATGTGATACAAGAGAACAATTAATTTGTTCTAGTCTTATTATATTGGATTTACTGAGTTTTATTTGAATACAGATAAACTCACTGCCCCTCTCTTATACCAAGTGTTACTGTGTATATAATAAGTAAGGCTACACACAGAATTATGCCTATGCTCTACATGGGTATTAAAAGGCTGTGCAAGTGCTATGCTCTACATGGGTATTAAAAGGCTCTGCGAGTGCTATGCTCTACATGGGTAATAAAAGGCGAGTGCAGTACATCAAAGAAAGACGGATAATAAATGTTGCAAGCTTTATACTTCATTTTCGGTTTTGTATTTTTTTCATTGTTTTTCACTTTAATAAAAAGAACATTAATTAGCCTAAAATATTACATTTTTTGATAAAACAATAAACAGTTTTACACGACTACAGTATGTTTATGTTGGCATCAGGACTTATGGACAGTATAACTGAACTATAGTAATCATTGATACAAATTTATGAAAATTAATATCGTTTATACGCGCTAATGAATTTGCATCGTGTATTTCAAGGTTGATATACAACAGGGTAGTTACCGTACTATTGATATTCCTTAGTTACTCTATGGAGAAAAATTTAGTTCTGATACGATCTGTTGTAATATTTTGATTATTTATCGATCTATTTCGATTAGTACTCTGCCAACCAGGAGACAATTAGACCGTAAAACAAACTGTTAAGTAACTTAAACATCCAAGTTAGTTAAAAATTAAATTTCAGCTTTAAAGTGGTGAATAGCAGGTGATTTGCATTTGTATTCCAACAATACTTTTCGCATACAATTTGTTTCACAGTATATATTCCAAAAATATATATAGGCTATGTTCAAGGGGTCACAAGTCTCTGGCAAGTATAATAAACAATCAATTATAGATTTTAGGACCAGTAGCAGACATACAGTATGCGACGATTATGTCACCATCTGTTGCAACATTGGTTTGATAAAAACCACTATAATGCTATCACTAGTTTAAGTAAGTTGAGCTTACTTTGAGTAAAGATTGTGAGTATAAATCACATTGTTTTCTCTAAGATGCAACAGTTAGGTCGTCATGAGAATATTTAATGTTTAATATTCAACGAGGGACTGTCCCCGACATGGCCTACCGCATCTGTGTTTAAAGCCGGGCACTTTATTACGACGTAACAAATCCGCTTCTTTGTGAGCAGAGGACGACGCGACGCCGCACAGTGGGCCAGGGCGAAATCAAAGTCCATTTTGGTGACTATGGCTTTTACAATTTACACTGTGTACAAAGGTGGGGGGGGGGAGCCCCCCCCCCCTTTGTACACAGTGTTAACATTTTAAAGCTTATTCTTGAGCCAATACAAATTCTTTCCTGGGATCACTCAATGAATACTTCTATAACATGTAAATATGCATCAGTACACGTTATACATAGGCCTAATAGAACACATAGGCCTAAGCGTGATTTAGAAAAATCTTAAATCCATAAACCTCAGACCAGGTCTTTTAAGATAGAAATGTGATACTGTGGTTCAATTTCGTTTTTATCCTTTTGCAAGTTTCTTTAAATTTTTGTTTAATAATACTACTACTAATAGTAATAATAATAACAATGATGAAGACGACGATAGTAATAATTGATAATAATATTAATAGCAATAAAAAGTGAAGAAAATTGTGCTTAATGCGAAAAAAGTTGTGATTTGTTGATCATAATATAGTTAAAGCTTAGTAAGCTGTCCTGGATACCGGTATTAAGTAGATTCCCGATAAAAGATAATGAGAAAATTGTTGGCGTTTCATTTTGACTATAATGGCCA